ATTATTAGTTTCAAAGAACGAAACAAATAAAGTAAAAAGAAAAGTGAGAAATAACAGATCGGTTGCAATGATACTTCACCGTTTACTGGTCAACAAAATGGCGACTGTTTACTCATGTGATCTTCGATAGCCAATCAAAATTGAAAGCGGGACAAAGGCCGCAGGGAAAAGAGTGACGCTACTTATACTAGGTATAAGCTTTAGTATTATCAGGACGCCTAGGTCATCACTATAACAGAGTTACAGACAAGGTGATTGCCGGACCATCTATCGCCTATACAAACTTTTTTTTGTCGTTGAAAGATTTTTGTCAATCTCGTGCATTTATGTAAATAGTTGTATATATTTTATCAATCATTTTCCATTTTAGTACACTTGCATAAATGTTAATATTATTCTGATCCCTGTAAATATTATTATATTCTAATTTAGTTAAATCTCCATTATGTTTAATTTCCTATTGATTTAATCATATGTTCAACCGAATGGTTTCTCACTTATGACATTACTATTTGGTGCTTGGCAATCGCTCTCCCCCTTATTCCACTCTCACTTCAGATATTCCCCCCATTATATGTTAAAAAAATCCGACAAATCAGTTAATGCCTCTTCGCGGCAGCTCACTGAGATTTGAGCTATGTTCTAAAGTTCTCATCACAATACACTTAAGCGAAGTGCCAATTTATTCCCAAACCTTCATCATATTTGCGTTCCTGTTTCCTTATTGTCTTACACGAAGTCCAATAATTCAAAATGAATTGGAAAAGGGCTATTCGAAGCGTCAGATTTCCAGTTTGAACTTGATGACTATTTTCTGCTACAAATAACACCAATCTAACTATCACTAGCCTTTCAAGCCGAAGTACCGAGGTTTCCACATTATCCAACGGCAATTTGTGAGGTTTGTGGAAACGGTGAGCTTGCATAGGTGAATCAGACTCTCCGCTGGGGACTAGTGAGTTTATAATGATATAATACCAAGTACTAGTTACACATAAAAACTTTAATATTTCAAAATGGAATATGAGGATAGATGTTATGGCTCCCTACATTTTAAATATTTAATCTATCATTTAAAAATCTATCATTAAAAAAGTAAGAAGCTGGTGACATTTCAGGGGTATTTATTAATCGGGGAAAAAAGCATAAACTAGTCGCATCATACGGATATGTTTGATGTAACAAATTGTTTCTTTTACCACTCTGCTTTTAGCTTAACTAATCCACATCAGTTTTGAGTACGATAGTATGATTTTATTTCAAAATAGGTAATGGTAAATAAAATAGGACAAAGAATCATTAGCCTCGCCTTCTAATAAATCTATATTAACCCACCAAGAATATATATTAACCCACTAAGTTTAAAACCGATTTTTTATTTTCACCCTGATTATAGTCACTCTGAAAATTTCACTCACCTGGTTCAGCCACCCAGCTCTTACTTTATTCAAACTTTTTTTCTGAAAAAAAAAAAGCATTTAAAAAGCATTGAAATTGTTTATATATTTTTTTAAAAAAATGTATCTTGCTGGTTAGAATTGTTAGAAAAAAGATAAAAAAGTTTTTTCTATGAGTTCCCAATATTTGTTTGATTTTGTTCAAAAGGTATCTTTTTTGCGTACTACACTGGGATAAAAAATTAGGTTTTTAACATCAGAAAAGTTTGAATAAAAGTTCAATTTCGAGTATAGCTGTTTTCTTTTTCAGACCTAACCGATTCCTCTATTTCTATCTCTACGAATCTATGGATTTCATCATCTCTAAGCGATGAAGAAGACACATCTACTTGTAAGTACATCATTAAATAAAAATTTTAGCAAAAATTTAGAAAAAATTTAGCAAAATTTTAAGTAAAATTTTTTATATATATATACATATATATATATACATACAGGGTGATTCTAAAAAGATGGGCAAAATTTTGGGAAGTGATAGTTTTCAATGGAAAAAAATCAATCAGGAAAAAGTTTTTAGATTTGCATTTGGGGAATCGAAATTACGTATTACGAAATTACGTTTTTTTCTCCTCTTTTCTTTTTTTTTTCTAAAAAAATCAGTATAAAAGCTTTTACTATTTTTAAGTATTAACTATTTAACACTACTAACTTTATTTCAGATAAGAAATAGCTCTGTATATATGCTATCAAGGCATTAACTTTCAAATCTTTATGGTGAACATTTTCTCTAGCTAAGTTGATATTTTAATGTGTGACTTTATGTTTTGTTAATTTTATGTAAAATCATTTTTCGCACCCTCCGCATGTAAATGATTCAAAAGTTCATGTAAAACGTCACTTTGCTCCAGCTTTCTCGTAATAAGGCTTTTAAAATGCTGACAAAAACCTAAACAATTCTTAAGCTTTAGTTTTTAATTGTCTACCAATCTATAAAGGATCTTCTAAAAACCGTAGTAGTTGGCAGTGCTTTTTTGTCATGTATTCTCAGTGTTAAGGCAATCAGGATAAAAGAGATACAACAGGTAGCCAAACTATTTCTTTCGCAGTTAATTTTGGGCAGGGTAAAAATAGTTTGATTTATTTAATGAACTGCTACTTAGTTCAAAATTATATAGTTACACTTTAAACTAACATTAACAGGGATACCATTTAGTATTCTCATGCTCAATTTAAATTAATTGCGGGTTTTTCGTTTTTATTTTTGTGCTTTCCTTTTCTTCTTTTTTCACTTTTCCTATTTACATTTACAACTAATTTAAATACCTACTTCATTCTTACTTCACCCTATGAGTCAGCAAACATCACATAGGTAGTGAGATGGGCTCGTTGTCCAGGTACTCGCTGGGACGTATTTCTTGTTTCCACATTGACAGGGATGTCACGATGGATTAAATATGTAAAACTGGGTTTGTAATCAAAAGCAGAAAATCTATTTCAAGACATTAAATTAACATGTTCACGCCGGGAAAAGTGAAAATACTGGTACGGGAAAAGAAAAAATACTGGTAGAAGAACTATTTCAAATTTAGATAATATTCGGGAGGAGTTAATCTATTCTCAACAAGAAACAATTCAATGTAAGGAAATTTACCACGGCGAAGAAGCAATTAAATATAAAAATTGCATCTGTTAAAAACAATTGGTAGTTATGGACTTTTATTATTCCCGGAAAAAAACAAAAAAATGAAATTTATTGTTACCAGTGTTTACTCCAGTGCGCTGCCAAGATGAGACAATCTAGCGTGACCCACCGGTGGGTCACCCCGGCGTGAACGTGTTAAGCGACCTTTTTCAGAGATGCCAACTTGCTCCGGACAGCAAATATATATTATAAAGTAGTAGTTTATCAGTTGTGATTCTTAATTTAATAAATTCAATTTAGTAGATTTTTATCCACCACTATTTCTACATATTTCGTAGGCTTATATAATTCACCGCTTTGCATACCTGCCAACTTTTAATCCCTTCCATTATCTTTTTTCCTAGTGGTAGTAAAATGTAATTAAAACTTCAATTTTAAGCAAACAATTACATTGTATTTGAGAAAACTTAAGTTGACAACCATGATAGTAACGCATATTAGTATATGTGCTTAATTTTTGTAAGAATAGTAGTGATCAAAATCATTTAAAAATTAAGTTTATAAAAGAAAAAATAGTATATATTTACTACCACTTTAAATATGAAAATAAAATCTTCCGGAAGAGTTGGCAGGTATGGCTTTGTAGTACGTATGCCATGCTATACCTTTTAAAAAGCAAGCAAAAATAGTCAAATATTTGCAAAATTTACTTTATAGTTATCTACCGTTTTATTAATTACTAGGAGGCTCCACCCACTGCTCGCTAACGCTCGTCAACCCCCGAGAATTGCTACGCAATCCTATGTGGTTCACGCCGTGAACCATGGCTCGCTGCGCTCGCTTGCCAATGAACACAATGTTCTAGCACAAAGACATAGTATATTATCAAAGACATAGTATTTTATCATCAAAGACATAGTATTGTACTTATGTAGAAGAATTCTATCAATGTTCTTATTGGCTTTTAAAAAAGTATATTAGCTATTTAGATTGTACATGGTGAAAAAA